AGGGAAAGGCTGGAGGGAGGGAGGGTGGAGATAGGCTGCAAACAAAACAGCACAAAGTGCTGGCACCAAAATAGATTGCAGGCAGTTCGTGTCGCTTTTTGCAATTAACTCAAAAGCGGTTTCCTCGATTCGGCAACCCATAGGAACGTCCAAGGGCTGAACCGCTGATCAAGTCACCAGTTTTCTAGTACCGCTGGGTAGACAGGAAAGCATCAGTATTTACCACTGTGTGGCGTGAATTGGTAAGCGCCCCCCATCCCCATCCAGACGTTTCATTTCACAGAAATCAGAGAAAATGAGGGCTGGAAGGGACCCCGGGAGGTCACCTCTAGTGCAACCCCCCTGCTCCGAGCAGGACCAGCCCCAGCTACATCACCCCGAGAGAATCATTTCCCTGATCTCTACAGCCATAGAAACTTCTCTCAAAGTTACTCCTCTAAGGGACAACCAGACACAGTGCACCTATACTGGGGAGGCCTCTCGCTCCCAAAGGTGCTGGCTGCACCGGGCAACTTGGGCTGCCTCCTCTGGAGGCCGGACCGCCTCCCCCCACCAGGCACACTGGTGGCAAAAGGTTGCCCCGACTGCAGCGACCCCCTCCAGCCCCCCAAACTCTGCCCGGTGGGGAGAAAAGAGGAGGAGGAGGTAGCGGCACACCTCGAAGAAGTACTTACATCCCTGAACTTGTTCCAATATTTGTCTTTCTCGTACTGGGAGACGGTGCTCAGCCACTGGTCATTGTCCAAGAAATTGCCGCCCCTGGCACTGCCGCCCAGGGGCTCGGGATGCCTGCCTTCCCCTTGCAGGAAACACCACGCCACGAGGACCACTATCCTGGACATCTGCGGGGAGAGGGGGAGCAGGGGGTGAGCAGGGCACGGCCGCTGGCAGGGGGAGGGATGCACCCAGGCAGGGCAGGGCAGCGCTGAGATGGGGGGACACGGGGCTGAAGTTGGGTGCAAGAAGTTACCCCGGAGCGGGGAGCCCGACGGCTTACCTGTGCGGGCGATGAGTGAAGCGCGGCGGCGGCTGCTGCTGCTGCGGGTCGGAGCCGCTTTGTGCGGGCGAGCGCGGAGCGCGGCTGTGCGCGCCGCCCCGCCACCCGCCACCGC